TCTCTCTCTCTCTCTCTCTCTCTCTCTCATTTGAGAGCTCACTCAATGAGAACGAGCTCTGAAGTGGACCTCAACTTTGGCCGACGATTGCAGTGCAATGCAATCCATGCAAACCATGCATTAATTTCTTAACATATGGACCAACAGTTATTACTCTTAACTGGAAGGCCATATGAAAGGCTTAATCATTTCGTGTATTAGCCGTTATTTTGCAAATTCACTCCATTCCTAACCATTGCTAACCTCCATTCAAACAAACTATTCTTAGTTTTCCCTCTCTTTCTTAACAAATTAACTTTTTTTGGGGCGTTTTGTGCCTCAAATTACAATTTTTTGCGATTAACAAATTAGCTTTCACTATATGTTCACAATATATTGCCCTAACCTTTATATAGAGTCCACTCTTTTTTGTACAAACATTTCATTGCTGTTTAACTCTTATTAGCCAGAAGTTTTAAATTTTATTTAATGCTATGTTTGCAAGAATTTATTTATTTGGCAAAACATTTCGTGTAAAAAATTCATTTTGACAGCAAAACATCTCTTTCGTCACTTGAGGCTATTTTTCATAGATTTTTCACTAAAAGTATTTTAAATCTAAATTTTTGTTTCGAAGATTATAAAAGTGATGATCAGATTGTCGGCCCGTTTTTGATTGACTCTTTGCTTTCAAAAACTTTATTTAGTTTTTAGTTTTTTTGTGTTGCATTGAAGCAAAGGTTTTCTCTGTTGTGTGACATTTTTCCGATCATTTTTAATGTCGTCTCTATATCTCAATCTTCTGCGGTTTACATCTTCAGAGATATTTTTAGATGAAAGAGATGTATGAAAAACAAGTTATTTAAGAGAGAGTGTATTCAATGGACAGGACCCACATTTGCATGGCTTAAGACTATTAAATGTTGGTTAAGAGACGCTTCCTCTGCCTCTCCCTCATCCCTGTCCTGAAAGACACTCCACACACACAACACAACACCAACTAATGTCTAATGTCTCTCTCATTTCGATGAATACTAACATAATATACATAACAGTATAACAGTTCGCTATGTCTTCCTATGCCTTCCAATGCCTTTCACTAAGCGTTGCCTAAAGAGTAACAGTAAGACAATACATGCGAAGTCCAGATGTTGTTTACCATATTATGGCTAACTCTCAGCCAATCAACGATTTAACTAACGTATAATATTTGCTTATAACAGCATAAATATCTTGTACAATCGCATATTTTGTAATTATTCACTAATGACATTAACACTGCTTTAATTGTTATTGGTCAATTTAATAATTACAAAATATGCTATTTTTATACATATCCAAAAAACTATACACTGTTTTTAGTCTAGAATTGCTTTCTACTGAACTGATACATCAATTATATAGTTATGACACCATTTATTGGCTATTTTTAAGCTAAATAACATATCTCTTGCTTTTGAGTAATTGCTATATTTTTAAATGAAATCATAACTTATATGAGAAATAGATTTTCCTAGTGATTTAAAACATACAAGTAAAAAGCAAACAAATGATAACTTAAAATATATTAGTATTCATATTTGCTTTCCGTTTCCAAAATCAATTACATTATTGTTAGGAATATTTGGAATCGATTTAAATATCCGAAAAGTTTTTGATATGTTTTAGGAGAGGGACCAGAGTTTAGGTCAAATCGTGGGAATGAAAATATGCTCAAGAGATTCAATGGATGTTAGAGTGGACTCAAATGATTGCCTTTTTATGAGAAAAATAAGGGAAATAAGAATCGGGGGATAAGGGGAATGGGGTCAATAAATGATAGCTATGTTGCATGTTTTAGCCAGTGTAAGTGCCAGTTATGACCAACCCTTATGACTGAGCCCTACACTGACCCTCTTTGCCTGTAAATGGACTCTAAAAGAGTTTTGTCCTTCACTTCATTGTGTTGTTACGAACGGTTAGTCCTTTCTTAGAGCTACAGTTCCTCAATAGTAGTCAAACCTAATGCCTTATCCCGTACTACACGAACCCTTCCTATTACGTCCCCTTACGATGTTATGTAAGGTTTGTGTAAACCTTGAAAAAACATGTCCATAATTCTTAGGTTATGGGGAACTCAACCTTTAATTCACATTTTCGAGTAAATATAGGCGTTAATCATACCGAACGGAAACATTATGAATAGGATTTGAGTTTTATTTTGTCGATTAAATGAATAAAACTTATATTTTTAGAAATACTTGTTTATCGCTTGTGTGGACAAAAGTTATAAACAATATTCTCTGCTTCTGATTAAAAATGTATGAATTATAATAGAAATGAGCGAATATTGAGCCAAATTATGTGCAATATTTTGTTTCTTTAAATATTGAATGTTTACCGAATAATGTTTATATAAATAATATAATAGACGTGTTGTGTATGTGTTTCGTATGTATTCATGATGAAGAGTAGGTCTAAATATAGCATTTGTGTTGAATATTGAGAGTGATATTTGTGTTAATCTAAAACTATAAATCATTGGACGGGCACTCAATCCCTGTGTTTATGGCTTTCATTTGGTTAGCATTTCTTGAGATTTCTGGCGCTCAAGTTCTGGTAGTGTTAGCGTTGAGTGCATTTCATTTGATCAGTTGTACCCCCTTTGCAGTGATGCCAATATATGGTAATATAGTTGGGGCCGAGCCTACCAGAGCTGAGCTACAGCTGCCGTTTACAAGAGTTTGTGATGGAATTGCCGGTCAGTTGTGTTGAGATGAGAAATCTTTATATACTTGCAAATGGCATATACACTACACAACGGTATACTATAGAGTTATATGCCGTCCCCTCCATCTCGATATCATCCCCTTCTCTCTCAGATCTGACTCCACAACAAATGGGAAGTCAAGTGAAACTATTTGCCTCTCAGCACAACCACAGCCATAGCCATAGCCATAGTCATAGCCATAGCCACAGCACATCCACAGCACTGACCGCTCTTCCATTTCTCCCTTTCCTCGACTACTGCTTCTCCAATGCATTCCATTAGGGGTCGAATGGCCCCCAGGTTTTGATTTCAGGGTCATCTTTGCATTGGCTTTCAATCTGAACATTAAAGAAAAGCTTAATTCTTATAAACTATGTCTTGAGGGGGTGGGTGTCGACCACAGTGTCCGTCAATACGACGCAATGCAATACAGTTATGAGGAGTGAACAAAGAAATGGCCAGAAATTGGCAAATTTAAGGCTCCATTCCCTTCCCTTCCCTTCCCTTCACTCTTAATGTTCGCAAATTTCTCTAATCTTATAGATTGAGTTGAATCGCAACCTAAAAGTTTTGATACTAAACACAAAGGGAAGGGCTATTCATTGTGTCCGATGCCTACAGTTTGTCAGCTTTTATATAGTATTCAATTTGAATGAAGAAATTGAGTCAAAGATGCAGAGAAACAACATCTGGAGTGGCCATCAAAGGGGGACTCAAATAGAGTCCATTTCTTGCAAAAACTTTAAGATTTTACGTTATCATTGATTGCAACAGCAATTGAGCACCAGTAGCCCAGTTTACAGTTTACATTCCTACACTCCATTCCCCTCATGTCCTGTTGAGTTGGGAATACTTTTTATTTTTGCTTATGTTTTAGAAAATACAACATTTTTTATAGCACTTATATTTTGTTTACCCAACCATTTGTTTTGCTCACAAAAAAATATGGAAAAACAAATGAAAAATACTTTTTCACAAACAATGAAATTCAATATAAATTATTAGTTCGTATTCCTTTCAAAATTCAATTATTTGTGACATTAAGTAGGATTCCTTTGAAGTGTTATCATATTATTTGTATAGAAATCTAATGTGCAAAAAGTTAACCAAATTGAAAGTTGAAAATTTAATCAAAAATAATGTGCATTTAAACAATAAGAATTGAAATGAGTTTAAGTATAAGAAAATTTTCAATAAAATTGTAAAATCTTTCAACATTTGTGATTCTCATTAATCACAATTTTGTTTTCTTTTATTTTTGAAAACAAAAATATCATAATTTTTAATGTATCAAAAAGTCTCTCTCTCTCTCTCTCTCTCTCTCTCTCTCTCATTCTCTCTAAAACTACTTTTAATTGCATTCGTCTGACTATTGGCTCTCTATTTAACTCAAAAACTATTTTTCATATCCAAGTCATGACATTGCAATAATGAAAACTGTGGAACAAAATATGAATGAATTATTGTTAAGATAGATATAAAGTAAATAAATTATGAGTATTTTTGTCTGAGAATCAGTATATAATTTAATGATTAATTGTTTCGTTCAAACAGTTAAAAATATTGAATAATTATTTGATTAAATGGTTTATTTGAAGTCATATATTGTTGTTCACAAAATTCTTTATTTATTTGTTTGTTCTTTGTTTTCAATTTCTCATTCAATTCACTTTTTGAAAGTGAAAAATGTCTAACCTTTCAGTTTTGAATATATTTCATAAGAATCCGATTATTTAGAAATATTTATCAAAACTAAACTTCTAATAACTTTGTGCACAATAATTATAAAGTAGCTTAAAAGTGTTACTTTTGATAGGTTAATTAAGTAAAATTGTTTCCATTCTTGAGTCAAATATGATATTTAATTAAATCTTTTGCTTCAAAATTCAATTGAACGTCATTTAGATACTGATTATTATTTCAAAAATTGTAAGCATTTAGAATTTAATTGACTTTTACTAAGTTTTTTGAGTATATTTAAATAACTAGAGAATGTTAATACTATTTGGAAATATAAATAAGATTATATTAACAAAACATTCTTTAAAACATCATTTCCATCAAAAATAGATTAATTAAAACTGTTTTGTATAACATATAAGATATTTTATGGAAATTCTTATTTTTAGATGAGATTACATATTAATTAGATATTCATTCGTATATTCATATAAATATCATAACTTTAATGAACAACAGCTGCGAAACTCTAACAAAGAAAACATAAATATTAATTATATTTAGCGTTAACTCCATTGAATTTGGGTCAACACAACACCAAAATTTATATGAAATTAAATTTTATCGCAACTATAATTTTAATGTCAAATAAATTATTTTTAAAGCTATCATATGTTAGATATAAATAAAAATTTCTGCGAATATAAGATCTTTTCTCTCTCTCTCTCTCTCTCTCTCTTCTCTCTCTCTCTCTCTCTCTTCTCTCTCTCTCTCTCTCCACTTTCTCTCTGGAGTATTAATACTATAATATTATAAAAGAAATATTTATGAGATGTTTGGCCCTAAATCTTAAATTTTCTTTTTAACTTCGAGTCCGTCATTAAAATATCCGAAAATAATCATAGAGTTAATGGGCTCTCTATTCACTATATTATTTTTTGCTGCCTTTCCCTCACTAACGGTACATCACATTCATATCACATATTTGTTACGCTATTAATAATATAACACAGGGATCGGGATCTCTCTGTCAGTGGTTTCTGAACTTTCTTAAGTTCTTAACTTTTATGGCAACACAAGTACTCATTGCGTAATACGAGCAGAGATTTGCACTGATTTTCTACTAATATTTCTTTAGTTAGATATACTATACTATAATCTAATTGATTGATTAACTGAATGGTGTGTCCGTTGTATGCACAGGGACTCCAGTGAACCGAATTCCCATAATGGCCAAACAGGTATTAGATCTCTACGAATTGTACCGTTTGGTTGTGGCCAGGGGTGGACTCGTCGAAGTCATCAATAAGAAGATATGGAGAGAAATCACTAAAGGACTCAATCTGCCCTCTTCTATCACCAGCGCTGCATTCACTCTACGCACACAGTATGACATACCTTACCATATCATACCATTCCATATCATACCATACCATACCATACCATACCGGCCCTACGCCCCACTCCTTTCCTATCATTTCTATTATTCACAAACAAAGCAATAAAAGTAATGAATTTTCGAGACCTATCGCCAACTAATGATTTGAATTTGGATTTCACTTATAAACGATTCCTACAAATAATTATTACACCATTTATTATTAATTATTAATGAATGCATTAAATTTTGGAAAAACCAACATATTTTTCGCGAATCATAAATTATTTGAGAAACTCACCTCACACATCTATAGGATAATTTGATTAATTTTGTTTTTAAAACTTAAATTGTTTTACTTTGCATTTTGACAATTTAATGAAATAAATTATTGTCAGTATCCGAAATATTACACAAAATATTAATGAAGCATTATTTATAGCTCTAAACTTAATTATTGATTTCTAAGTTTAAAAAAGCTTTTCAAATAAAGACTAATCATAGATATGCTAAACAGTAGTATTATACAAGTTTTTGGACGTCACATCACATATACTTTAATAGAAAAATTATACAATAAAAGCGAATTTAAATCGTTCATAAAGTACTAGAGACAAGGTTATAGTTGTCGTTAATATAGTGAGCAAATAATAATGAAAAATATTAATATTAATTAATGCAAAAAGTAATTCAGGAAATTATAAATCACCGACTTTTATACCGTATATTAGCGTATATGATATTAGTGATTACATTAAACATGACTACAATTCTGTGTCGCCATACTATAAGTATTACCATTTAATAGCATTACATTCAACTTCAAGGTTGAAGACATAAAATAATTGCTTGTATGCTTATTTTGGCCATAAATTCCCAACAACTTCTATCATAATGCAATGAAACCTTTTTTAAAGTAATCAATTCACATATCTATAGCTCTAATCGATTGCACAAAAAAGTTTTATATCTCATATAATAATAAAGCAAACAATTTCTGAGTTCTAAAACAATATCCAATTGTTTTTATTTTTTCATCACAAATTGTGAGCCCGAGTAGAACTTTCATTAACTTTGAATTCTTGTATAGTTTAGCATAAGATATGTTTGATTTGGAGACAAGGCATCCATAAAAAGTGTAAAGTAGTGTAAAGACTCGATAGTAGACTGAATAGTAAAATAAGTGGAGAAATAATTCCTTTGTGTTAACCTTCTGGAGAGCGGGTATTATATCGATTTGATTGGATAGGAGTCAATGGTTTGACTGTTTGTCTGGCTGTTTGTTTGCCAGCGATTTTCATAGTAATGAATTTTTATGAGACGGCAGTTCTGCCGAATAACTAGTTTGATGGCTGACTTGCACTTCTCATATACCGATACCATTGCAATAGCGATTGCATTACTTTTTATTGTTTTGTTTCTATAATTTTTGGATAAAATTACGGCTAAATGCCTGAAGCGGTATATTATTTAAGTTATGGACTTGCTCATAATCCGTTTGCTATTTGCTATACAGATATATGAAATACCTGTACCCATACGAGTGCGAGAAAGAGAAACTCAGTTCACCCGACGAACTCCAGTCCGCCATCGATGGCAACCGTAGAGAAGGCCGGCGCTCCAGCTATGGTCAGTACCCTGAGATGGTGGGCGCCACCCCTCCCCCTCCGCACATGAATCGCAATCAGGGCAGTCATCACCACACATCACCTCTAAGTCTCGTCTCACGCCAATTGAATGGCCACAACTCACAGGGATTGTCATCAGGTTTGCACAACACATCCCATCCCATCACTATACGAGTCGCCCTTAAACTCAAACAAAACTTTCAAAACTTTATGGACTTGTTTTGCACGCTTGAGAGCGCCGACACATTTCAATTAAAGTCATTAATAAATTCTTAAATTAATTCTATTATCTAATGTTAGATCTCATGTTAAACTCAGAGAGAATGCCTTATCGGCTGAGCATTACTTTAATTAATTAAAATTATTAAGAATTACTTTTGTCTTCAACTAAATTCAGATTTGTGTGCATTTCATAAAACTTGAAAAGCAGAGATTTTCTCATAAACAAGTTTTGTTTTATTAATAGTTTAATGGGAGTTATGTTCACTTACTTTATTAAAGTAATCGCATTTATTTACTGTTAAATGTGTGCAACTTAAGGCTAAATGTGTGAGAATTTTGGTTTTCTAAATAATTTATTACAAGACTTCTTCGCAAATTTCATTAATTCATATAAAAAGTTATGATAAAAGTATTCAAACGCTTACATCACATAAAACAAAGGAATTCATTGTTAAGAAAGTTAAATATTCTGTCATTATTTCGATGATTCCCATTTGAATATAAAGTATCTGTAAATCATTTTTTAATTGGTTTTATTTAAATCAATACTACTTTTAATAAAACAAATTTAAATGTTAGTCTAATTTGCTTTCCATTTGCCGGCCATTCATTATATCTGACAATATTTGCTGATAGATGTGAAGACAAATGATATTCATGTTTAGTCTGAAATACAAGTTCTTGATTAACATGAATTAAACTTTTAAATCAGTTTAATTCCCAAAAGATTATGTCTGAAAAATACTTAAGAACTCACTTAGAATTAAAGTTATATACAGTTTTCAATGACTTAATCCAATACACGAGTCAATTCAATATATGAATTATTATATATATATTTTAGAAATAACTTTAGTTTCTATAAATTTTTCATTTATTCATGTAATTTAATATTTTTGAATATTTCATATACAAAGCTAATAAATAATTAGTATTAAATAATAAGCATAAAAACAAATATAAATTCTTATCTCTCTTAGAGTTACTTTTATTGATTACTTATTTGAGTCATAAAATGATTTAAATATTATGTGTTTATAATTCATAAAATTTGACAAAAATTGCAGTCAAATGAATGCTTTTTGCGAGAAGTCATTGCACTTAAACTGATTTTTTATTACACAATAAATGCGATGAAAAAAGATTTCATTATTTTAGTAATCACTTCAGAATAGTTTTTATTTAAAAATCATTTTAAACCTTATTTTATATAATTTGTTTGCTTTAAATTCAAGGACAAAGTTTGATAAATCTAAAGATTTTTGTGAAATGAATTATTAATCATTTATATCTTATTTCTATTAATATTATGTTAAATAACTTATTTCTATTATGAATACATATATGCGTTAAGTATTTTTTGCGAGAATTTAATGAATTGCATTGCATTACATATAATGTTAAATATAAAGAAATTTTATTTATATAAAGAGAAGTATATATTTGTTTAATTCAAAGTCAGGTTTAGATGTAATGTTGAATGGCTTGTGGCGGCCAACCATTTCTCATGTCAGCCAAATGATCACGATATGAGTGCCAAACATAAGACAGTGAACGCCCATCCATACCATCTCTTTAATTGATTCCAGTCTTACTTATAGCCATCACTACTATAGCCACCACTTATACCACTGTATCTCCTATTCAACTCTCATTCAAATCCCATTCACTCCACATTTATCCACATTTTCTATCAACACATGAATTATAAGAACTAATCATTTGATAGACTCCATGGTTCCGCCACTTAGACCCTTAATAAATGACTAATTTTTAATTTTTCCAGTCTCTGAACCACTACATCAGGTACTCTTAGCTGAGCTATGATTAAAAAGCTGGCGAAACCACATCAAGAAAAAAATATATTTTATAAGCGATAATAAATTCTTGTCCACTATTTTTCATTTTCCTTTCAAAATAAGAGCAGTCTCTCAGTCTCACAAACTATTAGACAATTAATCATAAAAATAAATTAATTTATTTATAAATTTCTTGAATATATTTGACTGTCAGGTGAAGAAGACAATGGAAGTATATCTTCGACACCAACTCATCATTTCTCTCATCATCCGTTACCACAATCTGAAGCTTTAAACCTTGAGGTGAATCCTCGCAACGCAAGCGATGCCACGAACCGAGCGCTGGAGACGTCCCGTAAGATCATGGAAGACGCGCTGGGAGTGACTCCCGCCAAGCGGTTCCTCACCGATGAGGTATGCCTTATGTCACACTATTATCCTATTATATATACCAACAAACATTTGTCTCATAATTGCATTCATTATAATGATTGGTAATGAATATAATGATTGTGTGAATATAGGAGCGATTCCTAATGCACGCCGCACTGCCTTCCGTTCAAATCAAAGTTATGAATAGAGGTAACCATTTGTACATTCAATTCATTCATTCAATTCACTCAAACCATTGTCTTGTTTGCTTGTATTGGGACAGACGGTCGGTCTCAGATAGAAAGTCAATTGGCAGTCAGTATGGAAATCAATGGTATTGTATATCACGGAACTCTTTTCGCTCAGTCAGCTCGGAGTCGACACTCATAATACATTTGAGAAGTTATAGAAACTTTGGAGCAACAAGTTTTGCATATACTTAATGGTCTACTAATGATAATGCAATCACTAATTTAGTGCCTTTTTATTTGAAACGAAATTCTCAAACTTTATATTATACCCAAATTTTTCAAATCTATTACTCGTTTTTTCTCTCAAGAGATTTTAAAATCCTTACAAAAAACCAAAACAAATGATTCAAAGTTTATGATTATAATCAAAGGAATCATACGAATTGTAAAAAAATTTTCAATGAAAAATATATTTAATATAAATGTCTTTATTTGAAAAGTTTTTAATAATCATAACTATTAATATATTTTTCGCATTTAATATAAATTTATCGCATTCTCTCGCCATCTCTTTTATTTAACTTAAATTACATAACAATTCATTGAATTTTGAAGAAATGCATATATTTTTACCATTTCAACAAATTTGATCGCAATAAAAACCCATTTCTGAATTAATAATGCATTTAATTTATATAAAACGCAAACGATGTTATCATTTGTACGGCGAATAAATTAATACAAGAAATGATACCCTTTTATACAATACTTATCTCTACACTAATTATTAAACACAGTATTCTGTAGTCTTAATGATAGCCCTATTGTTAATATTGTATAACATTAAAAATGTTTTGCTATTTCTTTATTTGCAGAACAAAATAATTAAATTAAGAAATTTGTTATCATTTGTCACTAACATAACACTATAATTCACTCTAATTTACCGGTTTTAAACCTAAACCTCTTGTGTTTTCTTGTATTCAAACTTTGATACAAATGGTCTCTAAATTATTCTCAGCCATCGATGCGAGCAATGAATGACCAGGTATTCATCTGAGAAAGTATTTATTTATATATATTATTACATATTATTTCTCATTATTATATACATTCTTATTATTTAATATAATGATTATTTTCTTGATATCATTTATACATGTGTTTCGCACTTTTGTTTCACACACTTTTTGGTTGTCTTTTAATTTTCATTGAATCAAAAGAAGTTAACATAAAAGACACGAAATTCTAATACATTTGTTATGTTATTCTTCTCCTAATTAAATACAACAACAAAAGGCATTTCGCTGTCATTTCTCATATGAATTATAATTATTTGCATCAGAATCTCAGGGATTTATTACTATATTTGTTAAAAACACAACAATTAATGCATTTATTATGACATAATTCATGAGAAATGAATGCGAAATCCTTTGAGACCATAACTAAATCAAAATAAAGGCAGTGATAGTTAAACTCAAACTCTGATAAATTGAATCAACTTTTCATATTACTTTACATTTGAATCAATTATTAATTTAATTACTATTTTATATTTAATTATCTCATACATTACATTCGGAGTTACTTCACATTTGTTATCAATTATATCTTTTAATTCTAGTCTTAATTCAAGTATTTTAATAAAAACCATTTCGAAACACTTGATAATAATTGATTCAAATTATCGTAATATGTATTTGAATATCAAAAAAGAAAATTAAAATTTATCGTTTATTTAATGAGTGATAGTAATCGTAAATATATGTAGAAAATTAATTTATAATTAAAAGCGATTTCTATTTCTTTGAAACAAACGATAACTTCATATCGCGACTGAAAATCAAAACATAATTAGAGCTTATATTTAATCAAAACACTGCAGGACTAGTGAGTAAATCCATACGATTAGAGCATTTGATTATTTATAAGTCATATATTAATGTATTGTATATATAATTTAGAAATTTCTCTTTTCAAATGACGATTATATTTATAATTAGATTAGATTTCAGTGAGGATTCAAGCAATGCATGAACTGAACAAAACATTTGACATTTAGAGAGCAAATGACAATTTTGATGGAAGAAAATGCTTTCAAAGTATTTCATATACTATTCAACAAAAAAAGTTTTATACATTTATTTTATTGTATATAATTAGCCATAACTAACACAAAATCTAAAATTAAGATCATTTAGTGCCAAATCAAACAAAATCCGTAAACTTCTGCCAATATATTCCGAAATAAGTTTAATAGTTATCCAAATAATTAATTATAATGAATGAGCAGAAAGTTTTAAAAGCCTTAAAAACTTGCAGTGTTAGTTTTGCACTTATTTTTAAAAATAGACTCATTTTATAGCACATCACTAGAGACACTAAATGTTTACTTTGGATTAACCATCAAAATGATGATAACATGTCTTCAAATCAAATTAAAAACTTTTTTCTCTTTCTCTAAAACTCTGTTTTCTTTATTTTTAGCGCAAAATTTATTCAAAGAATCTGTGATTTTCTATAACTTTATTTTGTTAAACAAAAGTTTTGAAAACAGTATTCGCATGAAAATTGTACACATTTTTGAGGGCTTCAAGTGTTTTGATGTTAACTTTGATATAATCGACTGAATATTGAAAATAATGTTTCAATCTGACTGTATGGATGAGATGCTAATACCTGGTCATCATTGATCACATCATTTCATAATCTATTCAATTCAATGAATTGACTTAAACCACGAAATCTAATGTATTTATATATAAAAAGTCATATCTTTTATAAAATAAACAACTCTTCGTTTTCTAAAACTATATAACCATTAAAACAAATAATCAATTTTTTTATTAAAATATATCAATAAAATTGTATTTATATCATTTGTGTAAAACATACTCTTATTATTCTTGTATTTTAAATTATAAAAAATTGTTTTTAGACAAATAAAACATTTAGGTTTCCGGTAGTGTTCACAATCAGAAAGCATTTAAATATAGAATAAATTGCAAATCACTTATAAATTTTTAAACTCAATTTGTGTAATATTTACACATTTATTGTGTGTTTTCAATAACATTGCCTTAATTTTGTGCTTATTTTTATTAAGAGTTGCTTTTAAAGAATTCATTGTTAGTATAAAATGAAAATAATTATAATTTTTATAAACTAAAACTCCGTCCATCAATAAAATTTATTGAGATTATATTTGATCTCTATTTACATTTGTGTGTTTTATTTATTATTTAAAATATTTAATATTTTTTGTTAAAATATAATAGTATTCATAAAGTGTCAACTAAAAGTTATACTATTTATAAATATATTATTATTAAGCAGTAAGAAATTTTTAATAGTAGACTGAAAATTGCACAAGATTTGTTAATAATATTTTTATTTTAGTAAGAAAAAGAAAATCAATTGAAATATTAATCTCAAAAAGTGTCATAAACTGTAATAATCAAAGTCTAAAGTTATATTCCAGTCATAATATTTATATTCTAGCTAAATATTGGTTGTAGTAAATGATTAAAAATCATAATGTCTGCTATTTTAGAGTTATTAACAAATAATTAAAAATCATAATGTCTGCTATTTTAGAGTTATTAACAAATATGTAAAAAAGTTATAACAAAAAATCAATCAATTATGCTTAAGATTTATGTATTCGTTAATGCATTACATAAGTTAATGTATTATAAGTTAATCAAATAAATAGATATTGACGTATACTGTTTACAGTAGTCATTGGATTATAATTTTGAAACTCTTTAAATTATATTTAGATTAATTTTATGGAATCAATGATTTTAAAATAAAATACTATTATATAATATTACTATACTTGGTACTTTGTTATTCTAACTATAATAGCTATTGCTTTATACTATCAAGTTTATATCATTCAATGTTCAGATCACTTCAGGTTTATTAATTAAAGAACACAAATTGATGTTAATATTATAATAACAAACATGCTTTTAATTAACCTGTTAAATTAGAAGAACAATTATAATTAAAATGAAAGTTTTGAAAAATAACAAGTTATAAGAATATTCAGTATCTGAGAGAACATGTTAATAGAATTGTTAGGCAATAGAGTTCAGCACAATTGGTGTGGAATAGAGACATACATTGAAATAATATTATCACAAACTTATCGCTTCTTCATTTATTTATTATACCTGTATATCATATTAATCTTCGCTTTTATTTTTATCTGGGAATCCAATTGAGAAAACTATTTATCGAAACACTTTATTAGAAAACATTCATTTGTTTTCATTTTTCAAATGCACTTCATTTAGTGTGTGTCTCAAATAAAGTAGCAATTTATTAGCAAGAATTTACGAAAACAGCGTTTGAATAAGTTTTTATAGAAATAAGTTAATTATTTAATTTATTTGGACAGTTGTTGTTGTGCTTTGTGTTTAAATGAACACTTGAATCCAAACTATTTTTGTCACCCCATCAGGTATCAGGTACAGTGCAGTCTACCTACTAAAATATTATATATATTTTTTTATTAATTCTTATGATATAAGTATTGGTATAATGAAGCAAAAATTGACATTTTTACAATTTCTACAATGAATTGCAAAAATGATTTGATAGTTTTGATAGTTTGAAATAAAAGTTTATTTTTGAACATTCATTACAAACTTATTTACGTGATTGTGGTGATGATTGAAGTGTATGAATGAAATAACTCGAAAGTGTTGTAAACTATAGAGTCGAGTGTTTTTAGTTTTGGTGTTTGGTTTTGGCGACAAATAAATTATATAAGTTTTGTGGCAATTAATCAAAGAAAGACTTCCCTCTCAGCCATAAGTCGACGTGAGTTGCAAACTGTTTGATGAGAGACTGGTGTTTAATAGGATGTGTGACTCCGGGAGCTCATGGATGGCATGGATGGTCCTCATGAATAGGTTTAGTACTCAGAAGATGCCAACTCTGTCTCTATTTGTGTCATTCTTGAGAACTTTATTTAGGAGAATATTCTTACGTTTGACTTAAAAGTGAGTTATTCTACGAATATTTAAAAAGTTGAGCCAATTTTGAGAGAGTGTCACACTTTAGAGCTTATGATTTATGTGAACAGATTGTGAGCCAATTCCTACTTATTTATGCTAAAAGTGAAGCAAATGGTTGTATAACTGGTATTAAAGTTTATTATTTAGTGTTTCTATTATACGAATAGAGGCACAGAATGCGATCAATACTTTGAAAGCGTGGCTAACATTACATAACATTACATCTCATATAATAGAGTGAATGTAGAGAATGTGTACAAAAGAATAGTTGTATAGATATATAGTTGTATAGATATATAGTTGTATAGTTGTAGGACTAACTGCACATTTGCACAGTGAATAGGGAGTGGCTCCCGGCGCTCACCTCACTCTCTAACTGCTATACTCGGCTATAGTGAGCAATACATCGCTATTCTCCGTCTCTCTGATGGCAACACATCTCTAGAGTTGTGGTAAATATCAAAACGAAGTCTTCGCGCAAAACATCTCTCACTTTCAATACAATATTCAGTGAGAGAGGCCTCACATCTACTCTACCTCTTCCTAATCACATGTCATTTCAATTCTCACCACAATTTCTACAACTATTATATCTTCACTTTTATTTTGTGTCAATTGTTATAATTCATCACATTTTATAACTTAATTATCAAATCCATTACATTCTATAAGTAAATTACATAAGAGCAAAGTTTTGCCAATATTTTTAGTTTTTATACCAGAATTTCATTTACGGTTATGTATTGATTGAAGGCTTGAATGAATGAATGAATTGAAATAAAAGTTTATGTCATGTGTTGTGTGAATGAGTGATGTCTGGAGAAGGAGAGAGAGTGTGTCTGTTATGAACAGATCTCAACAGATCCACAGTTATAATGAATACACACAACACACAACTCAAGTGAACATCAATTGAAACGACTTTTTGAATATTGTGTCCAATTGTGTCATCACTTCATCACTGATCACATGAGAACCGCTTATTTGCTTTGCATTGCATTGCATTCAATGCATTGCGTGCTCTCATTGTATGTCTCGTAAGCCAAAGCCAAACTCAATCGCAATCCTCTCAACAGAATTACACACAATATTCACAATATTCTGTGTGTTGTTTACAAATACATTCATTCATATCCAGGTCTCATATCCATGCAAATTGCATCCACACTATACTTAACCATATTTTCTCGCTAAACTCAATCATTTGCTGCTATTATTGCATTCAACATTACATGAGTCCCTCATTCATTAGCACCCGTTTGGTAAGTAATCTCATGATTAGCCAATTATAGCCATTAATTTTCATATTTATGACTATTTATCACTAAAATTTATAAATTGTTATGTTATCTGATTTTTACTTAACTAATCCTTTATATCGATAATAAGTAATCGTTTAATTAAACTAATGTTTGCATTATTTAAAGACATGCTTAGAGTGAACGTAAAGCTTGTATCACATGAATGTTGAAAAGACTTTATTATTATTTATTATCATATTATGAGAGAAAAGCAATGTTTTACTGGAGATGTGAATCTCTGATGGCAATACACTTTACAAACACAATAACTGAAACTATTTTGCTTGTATGCCATCAAAACAATAAACCATTGCTTGATAGCATCGAAAACTGCACCAAAAAAGATGTGTTTATGTTTTGAGATGTTTTCAAAAAGTTTAAGCAAAGGCTGACCTTTTGGTGCATTACATGAAAACTCTTATCCAATACATAATGATTGGTGTTGTCTATGGCTTAGTCTATGCAAACATTTATGCGCTTTTAAGCGACATTTATTCGGGCATAAAATGGCGATTTTGCGCTCGTTTTGTTTGATCCAGATCAATTTTATTGGTTCATTTGAACTCACCTTTTGTCATAACAACTTATTTTACTTATATTTGATTCCCATCGAGATATTTGGCTCACCGAAGCTGTAGCGGTTCAGTGTGTCTGCACTTGTATTTTATCACACTTTACATAACTATCTCTACTCTAACACTACTTTTGTTATATATTCTTGTAATTCATTCATTCATTCATTGAAATCATAATTTCAACGCTTAATAAATAATCTTATTTTTGCATAATTTTCTGTTTTTTTTGTTTATAAAGCGACTGAATGTATGACTTTATGATCAACTGTTCGCTTAGCATATGTATTCAATTTGATTGCCATTAAAATGTAATTTTGTTTTTACGTTCAAAAACTTTGTAAATATTATAAATATATTTTTACAAACGATTTTTGTATTGCATCCAAAAATTCATAATTTAACACCATTTGGAACTAAGATGAGCTTAATGTGTATAAATCACATCATATAGTATATGACATATACTGTACTAACATCTTATCTATACTAACGATTTCAATGATTCAATGTGTGTGTGTGTGTGTGTGTGTGTGTGTGTGTGTGTGTGTTGAGAGAGAGAGAGAGAGAGAGAGAGAGAGAGAGACTGAATTGGACATTCTGTGATTCTGTGATGATAATGATTATATGAAAACTATAAGTGCTTGCGATAGACCTTCACAAGCGTTCACACATTGAATTAATGTAATATTTTTCTAATACTTGTCTTCACTCTCTTTTTTCATAGACTTTCTTATTGTAACTGAAAGACAGAGACTGACAGACAGTGGCATCACAACCGACAGCAACAGCACAGGCATCGCATCGCACGTCAGTGACACCAAACCCCCACTCTAACCATAATATAACCTTGGTGATCATGAATTTATTGTTATTTGAACGCAACTTATAAACGGCATTAATTCAGTGCTCAAATGAAAACATTTTTGTCGCCAAATTAAATATCAAATTATATTGAAATTATTGTTTCATTTCAATATAATCTAAAGCTTATACAATATAGCGATACGTGTTTGTGTTGACTACCAGTGCATCGATGATCGCATCGCATCACCTCCAATGACATTACTATAGACTAACTAATCGTTAATTTAAAGTACAAAAAGTAAATGAATTAAAGCATTGTTTGTGTCAATAGTTTTGTGCACAACTGGTTGTCATTGAGAGAGTGGGAAATGTTATGTAAATTGTGATGACTATGGGTTGCACTCCAAGCAGTCATAGCAGCGATCAAACGGGATTTGCTTATGGATGCGGACACAGCTCATCCAGCAATGATATGCCGGCCCTTAACCAACAAAACTATGGATCCGAAAATAGGAGGGCATCCATCGAGATGAATGGCACCCACCTCTGTAATAATAAGGATATGAGGGAATCAGTGGTGAGAATATCTGTCTATTTATTTAAAACTTATATTTTTATATTCTTTAAAATAACATATTTTATTATAAATTTATAAAATGTTGATATTTGAAATGAATTTCATTTTTCATCGCAACTTTATTTTTAATAAGATTTAACTCAAAGACAATTATAGATGTATTCATAAAAAATTGCTCAATTAATGGCATTAATGGCATTCATAGCATTTTATAATGGGCTTAATTTATGAGTAGTTGAGAGCAAATGCATAACTGTTATTCAAAAGCATTGCATACTATTAATGCCAAATGAGATCTGATTTGAGTTTTGCATTACTTTAGACTCGCATTAAAGGCACATATAATTCACGGTTTGCACACTTTCTCACTTTGTTTTACGATTTTGAAAATTTCCTATTTTTGCACCACTAGTACAGTACTAGTGCTCTTTGGCTGCATTACCCTATGTATCGGTGATACAGTTCCTCCCAGTGTTTGTCGGCGTTGTTTCGATTCATTTATATTTTTGTTGAAACTAAGAATAAGTTGTGAGAGAAATGCTGACTCAATGCTTATGAGTCTATATTTTGTTTCGTGTTTTGCATTTTATATCTCAACTTATTTTATGGCTTATGTATATTATATATAATAATACTGTAGTTATGGTTTGCGTTGACTATTAACTCACAGCTATTATAAGTGAGTCTTATATTAACAATACATGAGAATAACGTCATTTGAATGAATGCTAATATTCTGTACACTATTTGATCACTACTTTGGCTGCCATTCACTTAAATTCTAATGTCATTACTTCAACAACTCATAAATATTATGAATTAATGCCTTAAATCCGGAGACAAATATTTTTGTTAAATTTGACAATAATTACACACAAATGAAAATTCTTTATGTGAACCAAAAAATGATAAAAACTGGTTTTTGAGTATATTATTATTATTATATCACAAAATATTAGTCTCTTTTTTGAAGATTAAAATCGATATATTTTTTACTTCCTTTTAATTTTGTTTTATTTTTACATATTTACTCAAATTACTCAAATAACTTATAATACATTTCTTATTTATTGATTTTTTCATAAAATAATAATTACATTAAATAAAATTTTCTTAAACGTAGGAATATTAAGTGTAATTGAGTTTTACATAAATCTACTTATTTTTATATTAAATTTGTTTTATTTAAATATTATTCTTTTACAAAAATTTGCTATAAAATTTAAAAGCAAACAAAATACATAACAAACAAATATATTACAAGTAGACATCTAAGACAGAGATAGATAAATCATAAGAGATAGAGATATTACTTTGTTTATTGTTTATTATATTCTGCTATTTTACTTGACTATCATTTGATATGTTTTGTTAGATTTGTTTGGTTTTCAATGAAAGCCACAGAATAGGGATAAAACAGACTTTCATATAAAGCTAATTAAATATTATTCATAATATAACTTATCATAACTATTAATTATGAATATAATAATTAGAGAATATCTGACATCAGATTCCTTATTATAATGTCTCATAATTCCTCTCAAAATGAATTGCAATTAAAATAATTGCTTTTTTCTAAACAATTGAATAATCAAAAGAAAAAGTGATTTATTTTGCAAACACTTTTCGCTGTGAAATGAAATAAACATAAAATATATTTATGACTCAAATATTGATTTTGTTATGAAAATGTAAGAAAAATGATAAAATTCTTTAAATATTATGTTACCAAAAAAGTAGCAAATTTTTTCTTTATATTAAAGGTTTCGATAACTAATAAGAATTTATTATTATTATACCTGAGGTTATAAAATGTTAATTATTTTCCTCAAAAAAGTTCATTATTTCAATTACTAGTGTTTCTGAACTTTCAGGATATATTTATTGAAATTATTATTAATTATACAGCATATAAATTAATATACAATGTTATTAGAGCTGTTAATATATAGGATTAGTGTAGAAATGTCTGAATTTTTAAGATACGGATTGAGGGCTAAAAAAGAAAATTTTGATATAAATAGCAAAAAAGTTTTATATAAATATTTTTCACTGTACAATGTTTAAATATTTACAAAAATTAATTTAGAATGGTATTTTCGTATTACATTTTATTACTATTTTAAATGTATTTTCATAAACATTTTAAATATACATAATGTTATAATTTAGTGTACTATTTTTATAATTATATTTATTTCTTAACTATCAACTACTAATGTTATTTTTGTTGCCATTTGTTTATTTAAAATAATTATAAAAATAGACTAAAATTGATGAAGTTATTTAATAATAGCTTTATATTAATTAAATTTATTCTAACTTGTAGTATTAAATATGTTTATACAAAATATCCTTATTTATTTAAAATTTTATAAATATTTTTAGAAGCAGTATAATGATAAACTAACTGCAAAAACAACTGTCAAAGTTTAAAAAATTAAACTATTTATTAAATTTTTAGATAATCTATTTTTTATTAAAATTTACAAATCTTGGTTTGTTTTAAATGGAATTAATTTAACAAGTTAATTAATTTCTTATTTAAATTTTGTGATATGAATTAATAAACAAATGATAGATTTGAAGGATTTCCATTGAAATTTTTTTAAAGTAATAAATTTTCATTTTATGTTAAATTAATTTTATATTTAGCTCTGAATTAATTTATCTGTACTTTTTAGAGCTCAATCAATACACACAAAGTTAATGTTTAACAGAAATTATATTTATATTGTATATCCTTTTTTGATATTTTTTATTCCCAAGAAGTTATTGAAGGACTCAGTTAAAATTATTATTAGTCTTTATTTTGATTGTATTTTTTATTTAATTTATATAATAGTCTAATAGTCAAAATAATTTTTATTTAGTTAATTGCAATTATAAAACTTATTATTAATGTTACGTTAATATATTGTACTTCCATTTAACGTTATATCAACTAGTATCTATTTTTAGTCGTTTTATCAAATTTTTAAACATTTGTGTTAAATAAAATTGTATTTCATTAATGAAAGAATTGTTTCTACATTGAATAGCAATATATAGATAAAATGGTAAAATACAATTTTTTGTTAGAATTGTTTTTCGATTGATTTTTATATGGCGAAAAATAAATTGACATACAATTTGACAGCATATCGTATTATCAAATGTATTAAATTTGATCTCATTTGTCGTACTCTGTATTTGTCATAAACTAAGCGATCAAATGAAGGCTCCATTTCCTCACTGAAGACCACTCGACAGAACTCATCAAAAACTTCTACAATCTATTTGAATGAAAGTTTATTTGAGTTTTCAACTCAAGTATATTTCTTGGGATTAGAATATATTATATAATATATGAATATTCTACAGAATATTTGTATAATTCGATGCATATAAATATATGGTATAAAATTATTATGTCTCGCAATTTATATTTATATAAACATTAATACAGTATTATCATAATAACGATTTTTGTATTGTACTAAAAATAATTGTTACATATAATAATTTCATAATTATAATATAACATAATATTGAGTTAAAACTTAATAAGAAATTATATTACATTATAAGTTAGAAATAGTTTATAAAATCTGTATTTCAAATAATGACATAAATTATATATAATATTTAAATTAGTTCTTATAGTATTGATAGATTATAAGCGTTGTACACTTTTAACTAATATAAATGATCACAAAAAATACTATAACAATAATTTAGTGGTAAATTAAGAAATTTGCTTTTAAATGACGATTAAGTAATTTTTGAATTCTTTGAGGTGTTTGAGGAGATTATTGCTTGAGATAAATGTAAAGCAATTGACGTCATGTAAGCATTTGACTCGTATAAAGATAATTAAAAACTAAAGTATTTTAGTTTCGCTTATTTTATCTTTTTATATACATATAAATCATGAAAATCTTCAGCAAATAATTTGGACGTCAAGTCATTTATATTTATTTACTATATTATAAAACCTAAGGTCTAATCGCTTGGCAGACATTCAGTGAAACATCTATTACTTAATTAAATAAAAGATCGATCCCAATATAAGTGTAATTGTTTTAATTTCAGTAATCATTAGCTAAATAATTATATTTGATTAAATTTATCAAAAATTATTTATTATCTAAAACCTCAATACTTGTGTTGTGTTGTAGAAAACAATTATATAATCTATTTGTCGTCAGTTTTCTTTCATTGCTTTTTGTGATGTTTTATGACATGAATTTTGTTTCACTTTTGTTTTACTTAAAAAGTTTTCTTTAAGTATTTAAATAAATAAATCCTCTTTGAATAACTTAAGAAATGCTAGGACAGATTATAAGTATTGCATTCAATTGATATTACCGTAATTAAATTTGCTCTATATGAATTTGTTTTCTATTAAATTGATAGCAATATAAGAGGATTGCAATAATTGTAACCAAAATTAAGTGGAATTTTTTTAAATAGTAGACTCAATACTTTAGATATGAACGGGTATTATAGTCTCCATAGAAAATAAATATATTTATGTAATCCCTTACTTTGAATTCATATAATTTATTGCAATAATTATTATTAGATATAAAAACATTTAGAGATGACATTGAAATCAAACTTTATTTACTGATTGATTCTTTCCACATAAATCTCACAATTGGTGTGAATTTGATTGTAAATAATTAGACACAACGAAACAAACATAGTTTTTATATACTAACTAAACCTTAATAACTTACAAAATTAAATTGATTTTAATCTCAGAAATAAAGTGAAATGAAGTTTCGATTTTAGCTGAACTTTATTTTTAAATTCACATTTAATTTGATTTCCAAGGTTTGAAAAGTTGTAAGAATTTTCTCAAACTTAAGATAAATTCTTTAAATTGAATTATCTCTTGAATTATTTATAAACTTATTATTAATTTAGTTTAAGTTTGTGTATGAATTCACTCATTAATTATTTAGACGTTAAAATATTTTGCGATCAACATTTAAAAAAAATAAAATAAC